CGTTACGACCGAGTGAAACGGACGCGTGGAACATCGATATATCGTGGTCAAAGATACCGCCCGTCGCGAATCCTCGTTACCTCCGTCGACGGGGGGTGGGGGCGGTAGGGTCGATAATAACGAAACCCTTCGAGACATTCGTTTACAACGGTACCCGTCTCGCGACACTTGCTTTTCCGGGGAGAGAAAATCACGCGACGGGGAGGCGGAAGAAAAACAGGGACTCGTTTCCATTACCGTATTGCGTCTGTTATGCCTGACATAGTTCGCTATTAAGAGAAAAGGGATGCCAGGGATATTCGTGGCGGAAGAAAGGCTCGCAGAAAGTCACGGGACGTCGCGTTTCAGGAGTGACTGTGGGGGGCGGGGATAGAAAGAGAAATGGAAAACGAGCGCAAAGGGGTGAGGCCGGAAAATCGTACGAGACGAACACGACGGGGAACGAAAGCGCACGAGAGAAATGTCGAGAAAGAGAGAGAGAGAAAAAGGGAACGAGAGAGCGTGAGTGCGCGAGAATGAGGTAACGAGAGGAAGGAAAATTGCGAGCGAGAGGGAGAAAATGAAGAGGAGCGATTGTAGATTCGGAAAGTCACTTAGCCAGCAGACTGCTGTTCATAGTGCCCTGTTATAGTGGGTTCCCTAGGCAGAGCGGCAGAGACGCGATTAAAAAAAAAAAGAGAGAGAGAGAGAGAGGCCGACGAGAACCGCCAGGGGAGGAATTACGCGCGGCTGAGAGAACGGGGAAGACTCCGAGGAATCCGAAGAGACGCGGTCTTTTTTTTTCTTTTTGTTTTCTTCTTTGTTATAATTGGATACGAACGTTGGCCGAAAAGAGATACCGTAACCGCGACAACGATATCTAGGTTTATTGTAACGAACTCGTCTGTCCAGTGGCCGGAAGTATCTTCCCCGATCGTTCGACGTTTGGCACACGTTCCGCGATGGGCGAGGCATCCATGATCCAATTCCGTTAAATGCGGTTGCAACGTATTCGATGAATTAATGGACGCGTCGCAAAATCGATTTCACCGTTAAGAACGAAAACAACGATCCCGCCGGGAGCTCGAATCGGAAAGCGGACGATACACGAGCGTTCCGCGATCTCTACTCTCGCGGAACGTTCGCCAGCCCGTCGGGAACCGGTTCGCCGGTTTCGTGCAACAGTAACGAGCGATATCGTATGGTACTATTACTGCGAATCGGTAGATACGACCGGTACTACCGACCACTATTTATGCTAGGGATACTGTTACTATTACTAATACTACATAATATTCCTACTGTTTACGAGGCGAGGAATCACGGTCGGATCGTCGTTTCGATCGGATGTGAATCGATCGAGATACGGGAGAAAGGGGAAGAGCTCTAACGGCCGTAAAACTGTCCATCGAAGTCTCTCGAGGCCGACGAGGAGAACAATGTGGGGGAAGGTGATTCGATTAGAAACGAGGTACTCCGCCCTCTGCCCACGGGACCCTGATCTATTTTTCAGAATACGCTATTGTGATTATTACTATATGATAACATTTAAAAGAAAAAACACTAAAATCACAAAAACACCTTGTACTATTGTTTATTATACGATTCTGACGATTATTATTTATAATGTTAATAATCTACATTAACGATAATTACCGCATTATACCATTATTATATTTAGTACTATTTAGAGAGTGAGGCTGCTACTATATTAATGAATTAAGTACCATAAGTAATTCGGATTAAGTAATTCATTATAGTTTATATATAAATATATAAATATTACTAAACATACTCTTCGCGTCAAAACTGCGTTTATCGGTTTTTCTCTTCGTATACACGTTGATTTCCTATACATATACGAAAATATAAGACTACGTTATTTTATATATCATAAAATAGACATAGACTGTACCACGAAATATTAAGTAAAAATAAATTTGATTAGGTAATACCCACCGTGTATCATTTCCATCCATGACCGGCCCCGAAAAAGTTCCAACCCAGAGACAAGTGTATCCTACACGTTTCGTCTTAGTGATTTCAGGATCCTGAAACGGGAACGCGGATAAATCACACGCGGTAAGTATCGATTTTTGTCCACCTTTATTTAATCGTAGCACATACTATTTCAAAGATTCATAAGTACGATGTGTAGATAAAAAAGTACAAATATTTACAAAATACTGTAAAAAAGAAATCGATTACAAAACGCCTAGGGATATGAAAAATGTCGTTTAAAAAATGGATCTTGCGTTCGCTGCTCGCTTACACTTTTCCCACCGTGTATGACTAGACACATTAGGCATAATAATAGGTCGCTTCGTTAAAAATCACCGGCGCAGCGCGTTTCTTCTCTCTCTCTCTCTCTCCCTCTCTCTCCCACACTCATTCTGTATCTTTCTGTCTCGGTGCTACGGCCGCGTCGACTCCCCGTCTTGCCCATTCAATTACGCGAAACGACGATGAACCGAGCACGAGGGGGCTAGTGGGATCGTTCGCGATAAACCTCGAGTGTAAACATTTCCAGGCGAACGAGCGGCGGGAAAAGCGCACGTTTTCCCCCCGGTCGCGGCCAGACAAGACGACGACGGGGTCGACGATCGTTTGGCCCCTGGAAAATTCGATCGGCGAACGACACGAGCACGCGTCTTTATATGTATGTATGTACGTCGGTCTCGTTGGAACCCGGAACGATTTACGGGCCACAACGATCCACCAAGCGCGAACCGAAATTGCTGCAAGGTATGTTCCTAACGTATTTCTTTTATGTTACAAGAATATTTCTTGGCATATACTGCGAACATTTAGGAAGCATCTGAGAAAATCCAGACTGGACCGTTTGCGAGCAGCCTGGCGAACGTTCGTCGTCGATCGATCGATCCCTCGCGACTCGTCGTCTGTCCTCGAGCCTGGCAAAGGTTCGATGAGCAAATCGTGAATGCAAAAGATCGAGCATGTTCGAAGCGATCTCGATTAAATTGTCAGCGTAGAAAACGTTGCCTCGCGAGCGATCAACCTCGATCAACGTTCGACACGACTGCTTCGGAATCGCGATTTATATGTATGTACGCCGGCTACCGGGAATCGCGTCGGATTATCCCGTGGGCGTTTTCGGTGCGACGAGGGTGCATTAAATTAGGGGAATGGTCGTATTCGCTATGATTATGAATCTTTAACGTTACAGAGATACTCATTGGCAGTGTTTACCTTAGTGTCACGTACATCTAGATGCGTATATGATACATTATATATTTTATGCGCGCACACGTTACGCGGAGCTCGATTGAATAGTTGGAATAACTGAATGATACTTTTGCCTTTTTTTCTCGAAAGAAACCTCTACTGAACCGGACAATGAAGACAAACTACGATTATGCTTCTTTCTGGTAAAACCCAACTTCTTGTTTCGGAGCACGAATTTCGACGTGGACAACTCTGAACGTGTACGCGCGTTTTCCTTGCGCGAGCTATGATAGTAATCGTAATAATACGGATGCGGAATATGTTATACGATCATACTGTGTATTCGTTGCCTATCCTCTTTTTCCTGTACGGCTAACAAGTGGTTCGCGGTGCCTGGCTGTTTGCGTTCTTCGTTCTTTCGAACTCGAGAAAGATGTGGGACCGCGCACGACCCCGAGAAATTACATTTGTTTTCTTCCTTCAGGGACGAATCGCAGCTGTTTAGCTTGAATTCGCGAAATGTGTATGCGTACAGGGTCGTGCAAGAAATAATCGGAACGGTAACGCGATATGAAACGGCTTCGTTGTACGGATCTTCGTGATATGGACGGTCGAGGCATCATCCCCCCGGTTGTGTTTCCCGCGAGAACTTTTCGGAAGAACTCGAACCTCGACGCGACGGACTCGTTTCACTTAATGCCACCTCGAATGCAAAAATAGTCCGTAAGGTTGATGCTCGATACAGAAGTTCGACGTGACCGAGAAACAATGAGAACGATAAGCGTCGCGATCCATCGGAAGTGCCTGTCGATTGTAAAACAAACTTTGAATCTCGCGATTTTACTTAACGAATGAACTTACAGTTATACCCTCGGTATGTACAAGGCCGTTTGCTGTATCCTCTACAAGTCGATATCGAGCAATCGCTCCTCATTTTCCTTTTTCATCTCTTTTTCTCTTCTCCCGGTACACGTTTACGAGATTCCACCATTGCGACCACCGAAACTACTCGAATAACCGATCGAACCCACACGTCTCTAGAAACTGATATCAGCGGCCGCGATTATGCGAATAGTTTCAAACGAATGGTTCAACTCGTACGCGTGGAATTGGGCGGCGTACAGGATCACTCTGGACGCGTGTTTCGTGAAATGATTTTACGCGACACGCGTTTAGATCGATCTTGTACAATGCACATATATCTATATATAAAATGTACGTGTCGGGCACAAATTGTTCGCTATAAATAATCCTTAAGCCTTAAATCTTAACGGAATACAACGAGTTGCAGACGTGAATTATTAGGCGGATATAAAAATCGTCGTTCGTTCAATGTTGATATGGTCGTGATACTTTCCTTAAACGATGCATTCACACTGTAGCTTGCGCGATCTCTGCCGTGACGGCGATACAGCCCCATTATCTTACGAATATTCGATGTGCGGCGATCGATAATACCTATATCGTTACACTGATACTGAGTTGCTAGATATTGCGTTAGTCGTATAATATTGTAGCGTGTACAGGGCCGTACGGTAATCGTTACCTAATCCGACGTTAGCAGTCATTGGAGCGGATCCTTCTGTTACAAATAAATTATATCCTTAACGTTCTAATGGACGCGACAGAATACCGCGACACGAGTAATCATTGCGAGACCAGTCATCGGGCCGGGGAACCCAACAATCGTGTGTCGATGATCCCCCCCTCCCGAGTTCACCTCCGTTTAGTTCGATCTAATGGTCGCCCGCGTCTCGAATTCCGCGGTTCACGCGCAATCATTACCCCTATTCCAGTATCGCCGATTTAGAGCCTCCGTGGCATCGTCGAGCGATCTAGAGACAGCTGTCGACGACAATTTCACCTATTTTCGAGACAACCTCGTCGAAGGTCGGTCTCTCCCGCGGATCGTTGGCCCAGCATTGAGTCTGAAGCTCTTGCAGAGCCGGCGGCGCCGCTTTGTGCGGCTTCCAAACGAGCGTTAAAGTTTTCAGGGCGCTCAACACGGACTCGTCGTTCATCTTGTTGAACGGCAGCTCGCCCTGGTGGAACATTTCCCATACGAGACAGGCGAAAGAGTAGACGTCGCTCTTGGTCGAGTATTCGTCCTCGTAAACCACCTCGTACGGCAGCCATCTGAGGGGTATCACTTGGTTTCGGTGTTTCGTGTACTCCTGCTGGTACGGTTCTTTGGTCATGCACGGCATCGAGATCTTGATCGTTAGATTGCTGGCGATCAAACAGTTCCGGGCGGCTATGTCCTTGTGAACCATACGATTGTCCGCGAGATGTTTCAGCCCTTTCGCCGCCTGATTCGACAGAGAGATGATCTGCGCAACGGATAGTTGAGGTGCCCGGGGAGCCTTAGTTTCGTGAGTCGGGCTCGAGGTGTTGTCCTTCCGCGACGCGATCAAGAATTGCTTCAGATCACCCCAATCGGTGAATTCGAGGATCATGTAGTCCGGCTCCTCCTCGCGGCACAGACCGATCAGCTTCACGACGTTCTCGTGATTCAGCTTGTGCAGAAGATCCAGCTGACGCTTGAACTCTTGCAGAGAATTCTCGTCTTTCGTGTTCGTCAGACTTTTCACCATCACCACGCTCTCCTTGTCGCCCTCCACTTGGTACTTGGTAGCGTAAATCTCGCCAAACTCGCCACGGCCGAGAGGTTTCAGATCCTTCAGGTTGCTTCGAGACACCGCGATCTTGTCGTAGTTCGACTTGGATTTCTTCGACTGATTGCTGCTCTGACTCTGAGCCGTGTCAGCGCCGTCGCTCTTGTTTTGAGAATCGCGATTCTCCTTTTTCTTCTGCGTCGAGTTCATCTTGCTGTTAGCAGTCTCCTTCAGCTCGGTCTGCTCCTCCTGAACTTCTCCGTTCTCCAGTTTCTCTGTGGAATCGAATACGACGAATTTTTCGGGAGCACTTAAAACGACGCGAGTTCGGAATCAATATCGGTGGAAAATCGATACCTTCAGCCTGTTCCTGAAGATACTGTTGCTTCCTGCGACGTCGTCGGTACCGACAGTACAGCATCAAACCCACCACCAGAACCATGTAAGCCGCAGCGGCGCTCAGAGTGATTATGACCGTTTTCGTCATCATCGATTTGTCGTCGCTCATTTCCAAATCCATGTCGAATCTATACGTGTCGCCGACTGCAAAGAGATCGTACAGTAACCCGGAGTGTATCGCGAGAGATCTCAACGCGACGAGTTTCGAACAAGCGATCGCGGAAGAGACAATAAAGTTACCTTTCACGTTCAGCTGCACCTCCTCCCGCTTCAATCCTCCGCTGTTGCCCGCCGTGCACCCGTATTTTCCCTCGTCGCTCAGGTAAACTTCCTTTATGTACAAACTTCCGTTGGCCAACACCTCGAAACGGGAATTATTCAGGTTGTTCATGCGAGAGTCCTTGTCCCACTGGATGGTCGGTTTGGGATCCCCTTCGGCGGCGCAGTGCAACATCACCGGGTAGCCCTCGATCGCTTCCGTTGGATTCTGCGGTTGTATGGTGAACTTCGGAGCAACTGCGTCAGAGGCAATAATAATACGGTTAGCGTTCGACCGTGGGATCTGTAAACCGACTACACACAACTAGCTTAGAAACGCAACGAATCGCTCCCGCGCGGACTTACTGACTACGTCGATGCTGATCGTGTGATTGATCGATCCCTGAGCGTTACTGGCTATGCAAGTGTACCGTCCCTTGTCCTCCTCGAGGACACCGTTGAAATGTAACGTCCCGTTGATATCTTGCACGTGCCGCGGAAATTCCTCACCGGCGCCCTCCTTGATCCACTTCACCATCGGATTGGTCGCGCCCTGAGACTTGCACGGCACTTTGGCCGTCGAGCCAAGTTCCAGCCGTTTGTCCACCGGTTGCGGCAAGAACTTGAGCTTCTCCTTGACCGTCAGGCTGGCTGGTTCCGAAAATATCGACGAGAAACCCTTGGTGAACACCTCGCACACGTAGGTGCCCTTGTCCGACAGGTCGGCGCTCTTCAAGTGCAGGGTCACGTTGCCGTGGTGATCGGTTACACGATGTCTCGTCGGTCCTCCGCTCTCTTTCAATGGTTCCCCGTCCTTCAGCCAACGGACATGGGTCACCGGCGGTTCCATGCCCGAGTACGAGCAGGTCAACGTCACGGAATCTCCCTCCATCGCGTTCAGACTCTCCGGGGAACTGATCAGCGACGGTGGAGCTGAAATTTGACCGCGTTCGAGATGGACGTTAATCGAAGCAACGCTGCTTCGTTGGGTAATGGAAATCGCGATTCCGAAACGGAAGTGATCAATGGCATAGACTCCTTTCGATTTCAATTTAGATTCTCGTCGTCGGTTCGTTGAAACTTACTGGAAATGAGCACTTGAGCGGATATATCGGTCTCCCCGGCCATATTCTCGGCGACGCAAGTATAATTGCCATCGTCCTCGCCCATTCGAGCCTTCGCGACGATAAGCGTATTATCCTGAACGCGGACAGGCCCGGAATCGCTTATAATGTGTCCCTTGGGATCCCTCCAATAGACCTTGGGAGCCGGCAGCCCGGAGGGTTCCAAGCAGCTGACCTGAAGCTCCTGATCTTCTCCGACCACCGCCACTTGGTTCGGCAGCAGGGGCTCGAACGAGGCAGCCGAGAGGTTCATTAAATCTACGGAAATACAATGCTTCGTATTGTCACGGGGCCTATATTTTACCACAGACGGGATGTAAGAATACACCTAACATCTTATGGGACTTGGCGTCCCACGAAAATCACGCTGGCTAGAGTCGCACCTCTACATAAAAGTTTCCGATATCAGGAATTACCTTATAGCAAGGAATGGAAATCTGAAATGGTACGGGGGCTTCCGACGCCCCCGAAGCATCGGACAGAAAATTACATTGCATGTTAGGCTATCGTTACGTCTCATCTGTGATTTTACTAACGAGAACCAAATGCGTTTCGTTCCCGAAAACGGAAGCGAAAGTCTCGACTGAGATTTCCTCGAAGTGTTCCGATCAACGTAACTCGGGAAACCCGTTTAAACACCAGAAGAAGACTATATTCTGTAAAGAGAAAAATAAATTCCTGCTTACAAGCTATTTGAAGCTCGACCGTGTAGGTGACGGTGACGTCTCCCCTCTCCCCGTGACAGGAATAGAATCCTTGATCCCTGTGCTCGGCGGAGCGTATCACCAGAGTGCCGTTCTCGAGGACGGTCCTCTCGTCGTCGGTTTCCAGCGGGCCTATGTCCTTGAAGAACCACTGAACGGAGTCAGCGTCCTCGAAGACGCAGTGAAGGACGGCGGGTTCGCCCCGTTTCGCGATTAGGTTCCTCGGGACGACCTTTATCGTCGCGGTCTCGTTCCCCGACACGGTCAACGGATAGCTGTCCATTTTCGGCGACGAACCGGCCTCGTTCTTCGCCAGACAGCTGTACATCCCGCTGTCCTCGGGCATCGCCATGTGAACGTGAAGCTTCTTCTTCTTGACTTCGATCCGATCGCTTCTCACCACCGGCTCGCGATTTCTGCAAACGTTTTTTATCGTCAAGATTATCCCGTTCGATCCCTACGTCTCTGGATAACGCACGATTCACGGGGAACGATGAATTCTCATGATATATCGAGATAAATGTCTGGATTTCGACGCGACGTTGTCGACGGGGGTAGCGGAAGAGTTCGCGAGGGGGATGATACGAGACGGCTGAAAATCAGCGACAAACGCGCGGAGGAGGGTGACGGAAAGTGTCGCTTGATAATTCAACGGTAGTTGCGTAAACGACGGGTGTCGGTTACGCGACGTGGGGTTAAAGTTAGTTCGAGTCTGCCAGCGTCGCGAGGGGAGGGAGGTCTAATACTCTTCGAATCGCAGATCCCCTGGAATGATCGAAGGGAAATGCAAGGGGTGGGGGGTTGCTTCGCGGGGCGTGGGTAAATAGCAGGAAGTTATGTTATGTAACCAACTTGAACCACTCGTATTTCATGTCTCCAGAGCCGTCGACGTGACATCGAAGTTCAACCTCGTCTCCCACGCGAATCGCGGAGGGTAGCTTCGGCTGCTGTAGCTGCACGTTCGCCTCGCTGATCCCTGAAACAGAAATTCCCGCGGATCGATCAACCTCTATGGTCTCGCGAATAATTTAACGGTCCCGACGTTTCCGCCGCGTTCCGGTTCGGGGTATCCGTCTGCAAATTTTATTCGACAACGGCGAATACTTTCGAGGGGGGTGAATTTCGGAAATAACTCTATATTCCGTTCCTCTCTAAACCACCACTGTTTCGCAGTCGTGACACTTCGCGGTCGTTCATTCGTTTCGACCGTAAACTAGGCGAGCACAGACGACCGACTTCGTGTACGTTTTTACGGGACACTTTGCCGGTCCTCCGAGTCCGATAGATCGTGATAATGCGATTCGCACACGAAAACCGAGCGTAGCGAGCAACGGTGGATCGTAAAAGCAGGATACCAGTTTATGGGTTGAGAAGGACCATATTTTCCGAAACAAGCTCGCTCGATAGCGGGACAAAAACTGGACGAAGTGCATCGAGGATGGTCCCTCGTTGCTCGAGCGATCCGCGAAAAAAAGGTCGCGGCTAGGGAGGCAGCCCGGAACGGTTTCATGAATCCTTAAAACACGAACCGAGTTATTTGCCGACGTCTTTCGACAAAGTCGGAGTAAATTAAGGTAAAAAGAGGAGAAAGAAGAAGGTCCTCGAAGCGTTTGTTCCGCGCAAACCGATGAACGTCGCCGAAAGACGTTGCTCGCGAAGGGAGGCTCCTCTTTTCTTGGCCTGTCTCTCCCTCCCGAATCGCCTCCTTTTTTCTTCGGGAATTGTACGTCGCGTCGTCCTGTCGTCCGCCGAACGTGTCCCGGCGTGGACGCAGGACGAATCGGGTCTCTGAGTGCAGCGACGAGCAAAAACCGAGGGAAAAGGAAGAGGAGAAAGGGCGGAATGGAAGGGCGCGAGCCAAAGGATCGAGGGGGGTTGGGAAGGAAAAAACAACGACGAGGCTCAAGCTCGTTCTCTCTAGAACGGCCAGAGGCAAAAGAAGAGGGACGGATGGGTTCGGCCCGCGATGTTTTATTTGATTCGATTAAATCCGTGGGTTTCGAGGCGGACGCCGTCACTGCCGCCGCGCCGCCGTTTCACCGATAGGTTACACTCGGTTCCAGGCCGCCTCTTGATCCTTTCGGAGCAAAAAGGAACGAGGACGGAATCGAGCTGACATTCCCAGGGAGCAGCTTCCACCCTCTGGCTCGTTCTTCTCTTGCTCCGTCTTCTTCTTCGTCTTCCCGCTCGACCGGGGAATTGCTTTCCCTCCCATTGTCCTACGAATGCTCTTTCCCCGTTCTGGAATTCCGCCCGATCGTTCTGGTCTTTCCTCGCTTTCCATCGAGGTCCCCGTCGATAGGATTCCACGGGATTCGAGATCACTCGTTTCCGTATTCCAGACCGCAACCTTATTTCACCCTCCCCGGTTCGTTTCCACCGGCGGATCCTACCTCGCCGGACATCTCGACCGATTTATATCCGGATCGTAGTCTGGCTTCCGTTGCGACGATATTATTCGAATACGATCCGGATGACACGGACCGAGCGAGCTGTTAACACCGGGGTCAACGACGAATTGATCTCACCGCGAACCGAGCACGAAATCCGAGACAGATATCGCGGAGGGTGAGGGAGGGGTGAGTCGAGAACAGTTTACCGGAGACCGACGCTCCGCGATACGGCTTCCTTCGCTAATTTAGCTGGTTACCCTTCGTCCCCGAATCGATCGATCGGGCTTCGACGACTCCACGGCCCAAAAATGCAATCTCGGGCTTCCGCTTTTGGTTGCAGACGCGATAGTCGTGAGACCGACGAACGGTGGTGGGGTGGTCCTAGGGGCGACAGGATATTCGATATTAAAACTGGAACCGAAAAAGGGGTGGAGAGAAGGGAGGCCGACGTATACCATTAATTGACCGTACTACTCGAGGAAACGTCTCTCCCATTGAGGCGTAACCCGACGCGCGTTTCATATTTTTATACGCATTAATATCCCGGGCTCCATTTCATTACGGGCGTCGGCTGCGTCGCGTCGATTCAAATGCCACGCTTCATCGATCGATTTTCCCATTACAAAATTATCCTCCGAGCGGGAGTAGAGGCTCGTAAACGCGGGAGGGAAAGATCTCGAGGACGAGCGCACACGTCATTAGCGAGTTCTCCGGCAGTATTGCTGCCGACTCCACGATTTCTACGGGAGTTCCGTTCACTTTGACCTCCGACAGAATCAGGAGGACCACCGCTTCGGACCTCTGCAGATCAACAGGACGATTCCGGGGAGACCAGTGGCGGCGGAACCGGTGGAAAAGGAGAGAACGTGGAAGAAAACAAAAATTTGCGGCAACGAAATTTACTTTGCGCGAATACCTGGTTACCCATGAAACGCAGACGACTACACACTCCCGACCGGCTGCTGCCGCGGCGTCCCCGAGGTGGCGTTATTAACAGCCGACTGGGTCCGCGCAGCCTGTCCAATCCCTCTACTTTTATCCCCCACGATGCTTCCCCACCGTCGACGACGACTACGATGAACTTGTTTTATCGCGTCGAAGTCGAGCCGTGTCGAGAGGCCCGACCTTTCTATAGTGTCTTGGGGAAACCCGACTACGCTATACGGGTTCCAAGTTTCCCTTACGGGCTGATTACTTTGCGAATTAATATGTCTCGCTAATGCACAACCACCGTTTTCCATCTCTTCGCGCGTTTTTCTCTTTGTCGCGAAAAAAGGGACGGTACGGAACGACTTCGAATCCGCGTCGCGAGAGGCGAATGGACGATGCTTATGTTCGAGTTTCAATCGAAGCGAGTACCGAACCTCGTAAGCATATACACGGATGGGCGCTAATGAATACCAGACACAAATTACGTACTTTTGTTCGCGTTACAAAGTGTATAATTGCGATACTCGATTGATCATTAATAACACGTAACAGGGTAACGCGCACGGAATTTGATTCGAACCCACACACGATCGGGTAATACCAGCGGTTACTATTCGTCAGGGAACTCGAGTTTCGGGACCAAAGTCTGCGAATAATGATCGCGATACGTTGATAAAGAAAACGCGACCTTTGATGTATCTCGATTACTTCTCACCTGTACCGTTCGCGTCGATATTAATTACTGGCAATTAACGTCGAAGCTACCCGCTATTATTACACGGCTACCGCGAGAGGAGCGTTTCCTGGCGTCGCGCGTTAACTTCGCAAATTACTCCTTTCAATAACGCATCGAACAACATCACCGGAACAACGTTCGCGCGGGACAAAGCGTCGGCACGTTGGGGATGAAAAGCAAACAGCTGGCTCGAAAACGTTCCGTCCGGATAGCGGCCACCCTTCTGGTCCATCCTTCTCTCTCCCCCTCTCTCTCTTCTAGCGTCCCTCCGATTTTCTGGTCCACGCGTTACTCAGTTTCGTTTCTATTCGTTCTTTTCGCGACCACGGGGCCCCGGGTTGCACCGAGCGGATTAAAGGGCCGCGTTGAAATGCCCCGCGCCGCGCCCATTCCTCCGACATTGAGTCCATTAAGGAGCATTAAAATCTCGAGGAGTTATCCTCGAGAGAGAAGGTGGGAGATTCGAAGGCTGTGGCTCGTCGTAACGCGGCACAATGCGACAATAAAGAATGACAAAGCCCGGAAGAATGAAGGAAAAATCACGGAGGGATGACCGTGGTGGTGAGAGAGGGCTAAAGCCTGGATGGAGGAAGTGGGAGAGAGAAAAGCCCCGGGAGAAGTTGGTCGGTAAGAGAAGAAGACGCGAGGAGGGGTGCGTAAGGAGGGCTCGTTTGTAATCGCGAAACTCACTTTGCGTTTCTGAGGTCTCCGTCAGATTTTGCCCGGCCACTCGACTAGTTTTCCTCTCTCTCTCTCTCTCTCTGTCTTTCTCTCACTTTCTCTCTCTATCGGTAGTACTATGTGCAGGGTTTTCCCCTATGCCCACACCCCCTTCGAGCTTCGCCCGACTCCTGTCTCTCTCTCCACTACTCGGAAAGCCGTGTTTAAATGCACAAACGAAGCGAGAGATCAAAGGCACCGCCGGCAGCGCGAGCGCGCTAAGTAAGAGCAAGAGAAGAAAAGGCGAAGAAAAGGAGAGCAGCAGAGGGAACCACAGAGAGACAGAGAGAGCCCAGAAAGAAAGGGAGAGCAACGTTTATTATTATCATCGTGTACACGCCACCCAAAGTCCTGCCTGCCCTCCCGCGCCTCCGTCGACCGTCCTTCTCGCTCCTTCAGCATCCACTAAACCACGCAGTCGAGATTAACTTTCGTGTAAACACCGTGGAAGACGCGCGCGTGCGTACCGAACTTGGATGGCTCGTGTAGTCGGAGCCTGTGGCACAGGGAGGAACCCGAGCACTCTGCCTCTTCGACAGCCTTGTCTCGAAGGTCGACCCCTCGAATCTTCGACTCTCCTCCTCGCTGTTTCGCCTCCCTTCGCCTGTTCCTCTTGCGCCATTTTCCCATCGATTGTTCAGACCTTGGTCGTATTTTTCAACGGTACTGACCGACGTTTCCTCAATTTCGCAGTGTCAATACGTACGGTACAACGTACGGAAAGATAATTAAAAAGAGTTTGATCTTCGGGGGAATGGAAGGCGGGCTATAGTCCACGAATAAGCCGGCTGGCCCACTCGTGTGTAACGCGATACGCTACTTTTTCCGAGGGGGAGATCAGGAACGGGATCGAGAACGCGTCGACAGATGCGTGTAATCTTCCGGGAGAGTGGGATACGGTTTGACACGGACCACCCAGATTCAACAGAGTGCCCACCGTTCAACGGAACAGCACCACCCTATTCCTGCCCTTGGTATACCGAATCTAAGCTCTCGGTTTTTAATTTTGTTACATCGCGGTTATTATCTAAAGCGATGTTTCAAGGACGAGCAAGAATTGACTCGAATACGAGATGTGTCGTGTCAGGGAATCAGTCGAATATACCCCCGAAAAAGGCGCTACTAGCGGAAGTTGTTCTCGGAAACGTTCAAGGGGCCTGTTTTCGACCCTCCTTTGTTCTACAGCCTGGCGAGTAA